CGTATTTTTTGAAAATTACGGCTTCGCCAATGAACTTATTTCATAGGCATAGTCTTTTTAGTATAACAAAAGTTTAGTTGGTTAAACAGAGAAAATATTATTTTATAATATAATTGTATTGTCAGTTTAAGTACTATTTACAACATGAGCGGCCGTGTTGTATCGGGCCAAGAAATACTTGAACTTGAAAATAAAAAAACTTGGTAAACCAGGGTTGTGTTTCTTTTCCAACAAACTAAAATGGCTTGCGCGGCACAAAATAAATGAACGTGAATTGAATAGTTAAATTAGGGCTTAAAATGAAGCAAATTGTCTGAAATTGCGTGCAACAATTAAACACCCAACACATTTTTCAATCATTAACTCAAAATATGATTGAAGCTTTTAAATCTCGTACGCAAGCCATTTTTAGTTTGATATTTGTGGTGTTACTCTGAGTGTATATCCACACCGGGCGAGCTTGAAAAATATGCCCGGCCACGGTGGGATTCGAACCTACGACCTTTGGAATACTAGCCCAATGCTCTTCCAACTGAGCTACGCGGTCAGGACGGTTCGAGTAAGTGATATTTCGGAACAGAATCTAGTTCCTTCGATACCAATGTATTCTAGTAATATGAACTTTTCTGTGTTGGTGTAGTGTACTCAGGTGAATATGATATTTGTGGTGTTACTCTGAGTGTATAGCCACACCGGGCGAGCTTGAAAAATATGCCCGGCCACGGTGGGAGTCGAACCTACGACCTTTGAAGGTGGGATTCGAACCTACGACCTACGACGATACTACGAACCTACGACCTACGACCTACGACATTCGAACCTACGACCTACGACCTACCGATCCCACCGTGGCCGGGCATATTTTTCAAGCTCGCCCGGTGTGGATATACACTCAGAGTAACACCACAAATATCATATTCACATGAGTGCACTACACCAACACAGAAAAATTCATTTTTAGTTTGTTCGAACCACCCCTCCCCCCCGGTTTACAAATTTTTCATTATTCGACATGATAAGTAAGGTTAGTATAGTGTGTTTTCACGCGAACCGCTGTGACGTCACTAGAATTTAGCGTCCGCCATGTTGGTGGAGTAAAACGCGTCACGACGAGGAATTTACTAGTGTTTACTATAGCTGTGCCAAATCTGTTCGAAATATTCCTCAATATGCCGGCTTTTTGTGTAGTTTTAAACTGTTCAAATGACAAATCTAAACGTGAAGATCTTTCTTTCTGCCGGGTGCCGAAAGTTATTAAAAATCAAGGCGAGGAAATTGATATTTTGTGAACCGAACGCAGTCGAACATGGCTGTCGGCCATATTTATAATTTAGAGTCGCCGAACGAAGGAAACGCATGCATGAGAATACAGAAGAAATGGTCAAAGAGAAGTTACCAGAGAGTAAACGAACGTGGTGTGGTTGTTAAATGTTTATTTGATCCTATGACTATGGACGATATCGCAGAAAATTTGCCAGAAAACTTGAGAAACGTAAACCACAACAATTGGCATTCAGACAAGCGACTGTTATAATTCTATGCTTCAATCCGAGTTTTAATTTCTGGATAAACCATTTTCTGCTGACTTTTATTGATAGACAAACTAATTTCCTTGCAAGGGCACAGACATTTTCAAGTTACAAGCATCAAAACACTGTAACAATGTTAAAGTGAAGCTTCATGGGGAGGGAGGACTTCAGATAAGTTTCTGCCTGAGAACTGTGGCTTTCTGGACAACCTTATACCAGGTGATTTGGTTCTGGCGGATAGGGGTTTCACTGTCCATAAAAGTGTTCAGTTTCGCCAAGCCCAATTGAACATTCCGGCATTCACAAAAGGAAAAGACTAACTTGATTCTGCTGATGTGGAACAGACAAGAAAGATGCTACTGTCTGGATACATGTCGAAAGAATTATTGGTTTACTGAGACAGAAATATACCATTCTTCAACAAACTTTGCCAACTGATTACCTTATTTGCAGAAAAGGAGAATCTGTTCCTCTCATTGACAGAATGATTCAAGTTTGCTCTGCACTAGTAAACCTTAGCCCTCATACTATACCTTTTGATTGAAGTAAAGTATTTTACAACATTATGTTTTTACCAAGAAACAGAAACATATTCTTTCAACATTTGAAAATTTGGTGGTCAAGTTTGAGAACCTCTGCATGGTGACCACTGGGCAACAGCATGTTGTGTAAATCAGGGGTGGTTTAGTAGGCTACTTTAATTGTATTTTGTCAAAAAGAGACCCCTTTGCAGCTGCAAAGTAAAAAATCTACCCCTGTTTGTTTCACAACATGCTGGCTAAGCTCAGCAATAATATTTCATGCAATTATCATGGGGCTTGTGATATGGGGAATAAATACATCACTATTTCAACTAGGCCTGTTTGAATACCATGAGCATTGAAACAATGTAAAAACCATGTCTGTTGGGAATGTATTATTGGTGGGGGTTAAATAATTGATTGAGCAACCCAAAGACTTGGGGTAGGCCAGGGCAATAAACTACTTTGGGTCCCACAGATATGATTTGACAAAATCTTTACTCAAATTTGACACCACGCCTTTAGAAGGTGGGAAATCAAAGTATGGACATTTGCCTACCCTACCCCCATTAAGCCATATTTTGTGTAAAGTGCTGAGATTAGCCAACAGGTTGTGCAAAAGTTTGCAATCGCACAGGGGTAGATTAACACTTTAACAGACCAACATATGACATTGTACGAATAGTATGCAAAATAAAATGTTGTCCAGTTAAACAATATAGGGGTCCTGGTGTGCTAATCCGCCCCATGTTTACACAACATGCTGTTGCCCAGTGGTCACGTACCATGTGGAGGTTCTCAGTCTTGACCACCAAAAATGTTTAATGTTTATCAAAGTCTTAAGTCTGTAATAATTTTCAAATGCAAAAAGTTTGTATCTTTGATAGAGTTTTATGTATAATAATTTTAACAGTTCAATAAAAATGCAAACTGAATATTGGTGTAAGCTTTTTTATATTGTGCTCTCAGCCGTCGGAAAAAGAGTAATGAGACCAGCTTTCAGGCAAGCATACAAGTAAGCTCGCATTTGTATTAATAGATGTACAGGATATTTGGATCCACCGATCCAATGTGTAAACAAGACTTGTCGCAAAAGCGATTGCAAATACACCACAATCTGAATCATTTGACTGTTGCTGTATTCGAGAGATTTTGCATGTTCAGACAAAGGAATCTCATGAATAATTACTTTTTTCTGCTTTGCTGTTCACGTTTACTTCTGAATCGCTGGCCGCCATGTTGGAACTTCACTCCACCAACATGGCGGCGTATAAAATTATTTATGCCGTGACGTGGTGTGAAAACACACTATAGTCACTATAGTATATCAAAAACTGGATACTAATAGCCGTTTTTCGAAATTGAGAGCAATTTCAAATCTGTCCAGTTTTTTTTTATACACCCTGTATATAGCGACGAAAACAATATTCAATAACATTCTGACAACATTCATAAAGTCACGTGGCCACAAATCAGTCAATCACTTTTGGCGTTCACACTATAGCTATATAACAAATGCAGATATTTTATCAATGCAAATATTCATGGGCTTATTGCTTTTCGCTTAATTTAACAGGTAAATCCACAATGGTCAAACTTACCTGACCGAAAAAAAGAAATCATCGACATTTATCAAGAGCTTGTCGCCATTCTTCATAAGAAAATTGATTTTTTGACAAGACGCCAAGACGTGCCAGGGACACAGGAACTTTGAATAATGAATGACAACGATGGACCACAACAATTTCAGATATAAGACTCAAAACAGGTTGAACTTTATCATATTAATCAAGATAACTAATTGCATTACTTTAGACTGCACCTATTATTCTTAGCGTTTTCTATCTATCCAAAACATTTTGTGATCAAACTGAACTTTTTTGTTGCTATAAATGAGGTCAAGTAACCTTTAACATTTTCATTTATTTAAACTATTTAATTACCGTCAATTTAATTACAACAATACTATAAAGGCCGCACTTTCTGATATATGACTTACGTTATATGGATATTCAGACTAGACATCTTTCTCCCTGCACAATAACCCAATAAGAACATCAGTTATTTGAATAACTAAATTATATAAGTTCTCGACGATTAAGAGATGCTTGCGGAGGAGGCTAGACATATATAGTTCGGGGTTCAGTGCAAGCATACACTATTAACTTTTATTATATAAACATAAGTGTTATATAGAGTTTTTGGCCACTGAGAAAAATAGTATTTAAACACACGTAAAAAATACAATATTTTTACGTGTGAAAATATCATTTGTTGTAAAACGCATTGCCACGGACGTTTTATTGTTTTTCACTGAATTTTGTTTTTTTATAATAAACAGAAAAATACATGGTTGCTTGGAAATACCAGATTTATTTCTTGTGTTGAACATGATATCTCACTCGTTCGCTGCGCTCACTCGTGAGATACCATGTTCAACACTCGAAATAAATCTGGTATTTCGCGCACCCATGTATTATTCTCTATTTCTTTAATTTAAATAATGTAGTAGAAGATCTGTACAACAGAAGTCTTGTAAAAAAAAATTTGTTTTGCTGTTTTTGTTTGTTGTATCGAATCTTGACGACTTGTTGTCTAGCCAGGGTGGAAGTCACAAAAAAGCTGTCTGTTTGTATAAAGCAATATATTCTTTTGTGAAATATGATTATAGTATAGGTCTAATCTTTTCTCTTACATGCTCGTCACACTTTTTTGTTTTTTCGTTCGTTTTTACCTTCAGTGATGAGTACCTTTCGATTTATATGCCAGCCACACCCATTTTTCTCTGTTTTCAATCGGTTCTGGCACTTGGCTGAAGACCTAAAATTGTTGATATCGCAACAACTCCAGGTTTTGAACAGAAAATTTAAAACACGACACCTGCTGATACAAACACCCTTGCGATAACAACATACCTCTCTAACACTCTCTAACATGGATAACTCACTAATATACGGATACTAATTCTAACACGACCTCTCTAGTACAAATACTTCAGACACCTCTTTAACACCGACACCTCTCATCTCTCTGAATTATCTGAGACATCTCTCTGAATTATATAAGATACCCTCCTAGACCCAAACAAGCCCAAATGCATTTGTCATCGAACCAGTGTCTCCAAATTTACTTATTTCAAAAGTTGAAAGAAACGTTTAAACTTCAAAATTAATGAGTATATCTTTTAAAATACTGATTACTGCATGTGTAACAGCTCAGAAAAAATGTACGTGTAACTACGGTATATTAAATAAGCTATTAGCTGACTATAAAATCCTATCCTACGACTATGAGTTAATGTCCAGTGATTTAGAGGCTTTCATATAATAAACCGATATTTTTAATACATGTGCGCACCTCCCCTGAGATCGTTTTGCACCTTCCCTGAGAGTTTTTGCACCTCCCCTTGGGAACGTTTCAATGATATGTCAAAGTAAAAATATGATGGTTGCTTAGGGTCTACACTTCATAAGAAAGCTTTTTTGTTAAATTGAAACAGTGATAGTCTCATCTCTGTGTCAAGTACCCTTTTAATACAATGTTTTGAAAGAAACTTTGTGGTAGTTGTACTAGTAATGAAGTACAAAATTGGATGACTTGTTATATACACTACATTCATAGGCTACGTCACGTCGTTGACTTTGGCCCGTTCTAAGCCCTAACTTGCCATGGGGATCCTGAACTAGACCGTTGCACCTCCCCTAATTTTTTTCCACCTTCCCCACTATTTCCACCAAAATCCGGCTTGTTTTCAAAATACCATATTTTGTTTTTTTATTTATTCTGACATATTTTGACCTGATTAAGATTTATTTCGTCATTTCGTTTCGTATATATAAATACAATAAACTACACTAACTAAAATAATGTAAATTTAAGATCAGTATATAAAAAAATAGTCATATAGGCATATAGCATAAGCAATTTCATCATTTCAATTTCATTTTATCATAAAATTGTTCCAACAGTTTTGAGAAATTCTTTACCCCAACCTCTGAAATTTATAAATATAGCACTAGGCTTGCTTGTCAAAAATCATTTTGTATGCATAATATCAGATCTAATTATGGTAAATTTAACATTAGGTTTTCTGGTGCTAAAATGTGGAACTTTCTTCCTTGTCGTTATAAATTTCTTAGTTTGTCCAGCTTCAAACGCACAATCATATTTCCATATAATTTAATTCGGTGTATATGTTATGTATACATTATGTATACATGGTTAATCGGTCAGGTAACCCACTTAAATTAAATTATTAATATTCAGTTAGCTGGGGGAATTGATGGCATTAAATAGAGATTAAAGAAAAATAAATTTTACGAACTATATGCACATATGTATATATATATATATATATATATATATATATATATATATATATATATATATATATATATATATATATATATATATATATATATATATATATGCATATAGTTCGTAAAATTTATTTTTCTTTTTAAAGATTAAAATCTCTATTTAATGCCATCAATTCCCCAGCTAACTGAATATTAATAATTTAATTTAAGTGGGTTACCTGACCGATTAACCATACATGGTTATCTCAGAAACCCAGCACGAATTATTTTATTTCATTTATTAATTTTCATTAATTTAAAATAAAAAAAGAGAAAAAAAGATGAAACATAAATTGCCAATTGATCACTTGTGAGAAGTCAAATAAAGCTTTAAATCAGTGAAATGTTCAGTATATAATTAGTCAAAAATACGGAGAAAATTGAATTGATTGCCTTTTAACTATATAATTCTCAACATCCGTGGCCAACCTTCGTAAGCAAATTAGTGACAATTAGAAGCATGGGCAGAAACTGTTCACCAGAAAACATTGGATTGAGAAGGATTCGACTACGTGAAAAATACAAATAAAACTTCGATGTTTCGAGCGAATTCAGAATCACTGGCAGAAACAACCAACAAATATTCTGAAGTCATAGTTTAACAACACTATCAGTACAGCAAACAAATGCTCAGATAACGCTAAACTAATACCGTGATTAAACTGAATATTATACATTAGTATTTTTGCACAAGTGAATATAACAAATCCTACAGATTGATTGGTCAAATTAGTATTAAGCTGTAATATTCACCTATACTCCACAGGTGAATATTAACAAGACTAACAAAATGGCGGCTAGCCGTTTTGTGGAAGTTACTGATAAAGAAATAAGTAAAAATTAAAATAAATTCAGTCCCAAAAAACACAAAAGACTTGTGTAAATAACAGTTATTCGCCTCAGGCTCGGTGATTATCGAGAAATATTCACCTCAACTTCGTCTCGCTGAATATTCCCCGATTATCACCTCGCCTTGTTAGTTACTCAGTTATAGTTGAACATCGATGTTTTACTGTGTAGGTGATGTATGATTTGTATATTTAAGCACACACCTTAAATGTCCCATTTAGGAGTCAAGCAATACGACCAGAGTAAACAAATATGTAATTAGCTAACGAGAAACTATGATTAACTTACCGGAACATATGAATTATTTGAATTGATCTTATATCTCGACATTCGCGAACTACATGGCCATTTTATCGCTTTCAGCTGCATTCTTTAATATGCTGGAACAAGTTGTAGCATTTCCACATTGTTTGCAGACTTTTATGAAAACCAAAGCTCAAAAGACCACAAGCTTCCCCAACAACCTGTAGTACTCTTCGACGGTGAGCGACTATTTCGCAATATGAATTATTACTATTATACTAAAATTATTTGCATATATTTGACTAATGACGATTTTTAATTTTCCACACAAGATTCCTACATATTGATTAAACCAATAGGTGAATTGCAACCAATCTCTTGGGGATTAAACGACAAGTTAATCGGCAATAGAATGCAGATCTTGTTGATGCCGAAGTGAACGGAAGATGATGCGATTCCTGTATTGACATATCAAAACCTCTGTTTTCGTTTCCTGAATAGGAATGCGACAATATATCCTATAGGCCTTGACTGCTGAAACAAAGAGGTTACTGTAAGATGTAAGTTTGTTTAGAAATTTTCATCGATGCGTGTGTGTTCTCCAACTTATTTGCACATGGCACATGCTCTTTCGAAGTAGACTATAGACATGGTCCATCGCAAAACCAAAAAAGGATGATCAAACATGCAAACACTAGAGGAAATTTATAGACAAAATAACGCTATCCGTACCTTTCAACCGGGGTATCTTACCCCACTATTAGCAAATTTCAGTGCAATTTCACGCAGACCAATCAGATGTCGCTATTTCCATATTAGGGAGTATACGATCTACGATGGTATGGTATGGTATG